AGTTATACGAGGGGTGGTTAGGGATAGATGCGAGAGAGTTCCTTCAACACATCTGACCCTGGTATGAACTATTGGAATATCGAGCACCATTTTCAATCTTAAAGTTTCAAAACTCACAAGTACTGAAGATGAGAAGCGGATTTTTCATCAGATTTGCTTTGTTCATCCTCTTCTGAAACGTCAATGTTTCTTATAACATCTCAGATATTCATTCCTTAGACCTATTCGCACCTTCCGGTTTCCCTTCACTCTCCTCGTGTGAAGGCGGACTTTACCATGAAAGGGTAGCCCATTAGTAACCGGTACCTACTTCTCGCCGTCTAACTCTAGCGATTCAGCAGAGAGTGTCAGCGTTGGAGAGGGCACACGTCAACGCCTAAATAAACAGATAAGGAAGGGTTCCTATTGGTGGAAGGACTTCTCTCTCACGGAGTTCTTTTCAGTAAGGATACCACAATAATTCAGCTGGTACCGTTTTGTAGGGGTATAGACAAGGACCACTATAAACCACAGAGAGCAGCTAGTCCAAAATCGATTTTGCGCCTCTGTACAACCCCTTTCTGTGCCATAAGCCTGCTCGGCAAAGAAGGGGTCTGCGAAACCTGGTGAAGTGTACCTTATATCGTGCCTTCAGTACAAAGAGAAGTAGGAGAAAGGGCCAACCTCTTCGCATCCGGATAATGGCGCCCAGATGGTGTCCAAAAATCAATTTTTTTCCTCCCGTTAGAGAGCAAAGGGTGCGTACGGAGATACACGATTCGAGATGGCTTTCTAATCACGTGAATCCGACATTGCTGCTCGGTGGACCTTAGAGGCGGTAAGGCTTTTGACAAAGCGTCTAAAATCAATAGGAGGGGGACTGCGTTACTACGGAGCTGGCGCCCTTTGCGGACTTGTGTGGCTTCGGGCTACGCGTTCGTTCCCAAGCGGTGCTCTGGCGGGATCGGGAAGCCTTTCTAGTGATCGGTAGGAGATAGGCTGCTAGTTGCGGGGCGATCTACGTGATCAGCCCTCAGTTGGTTCTTTAGGAAAATTCTCCCGGGGCTCCCCTATTTCAGCTGCATTCTGCCAGCTCGGGGTCACAGGTAGACCATCCAGGTCGGCGTTCCCAAACGTCAGTCTTCATTGTTAGGCATTGTCGGCATCGCCTCAGTTGCTTGCGATCCTATATACCGTGTAGGCTGACATAATATTTAGACGGGTAATTTCACAAGTGTCCTTTGTCCTCCTCGGGTCAGAAGAAGGTAATAATGCCAAAAAATCAGCCAAGAACCTGTTGTTGACAATCTTTGGTGCGAGCTGAATTATTCTGATAGTTAACACCTTCTCTGCTATACGGCTAGAGTCAGATGGCGGGAAGGTGGGCGTGCCGCGGCACGAGCGGCGCGGGTACGTGCGCGCTGAGCTGCTGCGTATACTCTCTGTAGCGAGACGCGCATCATTTCGTACCTCTAGAAGGCTCGCCTGCGCCTCTCGGAACACGTCCACCACCCAAACAAGTAGGTCCTCATTTTTGTAGTTTTCAAGCGTTTCTTTTCCTTTTTTTTCTCGCCGATGATATATTTCTCACCCTTTCCTCCATTTTTTCAGTGTAACAACCACATCTCGTGAGCATGGAATGTGCCTTTAAGTCTACAGACTCACAGTCCTATTCCTCTCTAATCACTGCTCGATGGTGCTCCTCCTTTCCAACTGCTATACACCTTCTAACCCGTTCCTTCCATACTTATTGATTTATGAAATCCAGTTTTTTCTTATAATGCTTATGGCTTTCCCGTTATCCTATAGTTTCCTTATGTTTAAGTAGGAGCATGCAAAAAGCAAATTGTAAAAAAATATAAGTTGAAAATCATTTAATCAAGTGTGCTCACCCATTGCGCAGTCTCCAAGCCACTTTTGTGCAGCTCCCCTCTTTTTTGTTCAAGTTTTGTACCCCGCTAGTGTGTCATCACTTCCTTTTTGCAGCGGTTTATTAGGTTGGCCAGATTGAAATGTCGTTTTCGATCATCAATTATTTTCATTATAAAAACAATAATGAAGCACATCAACCTGAACCATCTCCTTCACCTGTGTCACAGGCTCATCACCTTTCGTTACGCAAAGCATGGATGCCTACCGCGTAGAACTCTTTCTGGTTCGACTCGAAGAAGTTGGGCACTCAAATTTTGACGTCGTCGCGGTTATCGAATTGGTTTGCTGCTAAGGAGTGTTGCGCTGACCTGGGTCAGTGATAGTCGGACGGCGCCAGACCTGGGCTGGAGGTAGAACGTCCCAGCCCAACTCCTCGATTTCTTGTTGCGTGATTTTCACATGTGGTCTTCCGTTATGGTGCAATAGTTTTACATTGGCCGAATTCACCCCTTGACGACGCAGAGCTCGGTCCACGCGGGCGGGCTGTTGTGCGCAGGCTTCAGCTGTAACTGTCTGACCCACAATCAGCTCTCCATAGTAGGCCAGTCTTATACTGTTCCACCACACCGTAGCACGGTTTCAGGGAGGCCTCAGCTGTCCATCAGCCGCCAACCACGGTCATCTTCTCGTTGTTATTGGGAAACATCTCTTGTAAAATGCGGTCAACATAAAGTCAAGAACCTTTTTCCTTGAAGTTATGGAGCGAAGTTCCAGTATTGGCAATCCAGTACTGCTTGCTCGCGTCGCTCAGAATAGGCGAACCCATTTTCTATCCTGCGGGTGACTGAGAGACTTAGGGTTATGGTGGACCCTTTTATAATCACCTCGCGGTGGTTCAGTGGATTTATATGAGGAGGAAAACTATGTACAGAGAGAAGAGTTGAACGCCTTTATTGTATGGCTGCAAGAGAAGGTATATGGATTGTAGTATCTGTTCAAGGCTTATACAGTATGGGCACGCCCCCGCCAGACGTGAGGTCGTGAGGGAGTCATCGCCAGCGATGCGCAGGCGATGACACTCCGGCGAGGCGGCGAAGTGAACAACACATGAAACAAGGTTTTAGCAACATAGAAATAAAATATGTATCACAGTTCCGTTGTTGAGCGGCTGGTAGATAGCTAGGTGGTTGAGTGGCGTTGATGGACGAGCGATGTTGAGTGGTTGAAGCATTGGATGGTTTGGAGAGGAGGAGGCATTGCTGGCGGCGATGAAGACGTGGTTGAAGGCGATGGAGAGGTCGTTGGTGTTGAAGAAAATGTAAGATGATTAGAGAGAACTTTAAAAGCTCAACCGTTCATCAATTGATTGAATACCCGCGCTGGGGTTTCTTTGTTAATCCGGGTCGGATACGGAATGCGAGTCGCTGCGGCCTCATGGACTAGTCCATATTTCAATTTCGACTTTCTTCGAAAAGGATCATTGCGCTGCTCTTCGGAAGAGATGGATTTTTTCAATTTCGAACCATAAGTTTGGGTCCTATGTGAATGGTATTTCCATGCTTTTTCCAACGTTTGGAAGGTAACTGGTTTTCTATTTGTGGATCTATAAGCGATCCTATAATTGGGGATCAATAGTCTTGCTGATCCAGCAACGACGTGGGTCGAAGTAATTAGCTCGGTCATTCTGCTGGAGGGCCTATCCTCTCTCAATATTGGGCTCTTTTTTATCGATATGGCGTCGACAACTTTCCGACAGGATTTTGTCAAATGTGGTTGATTTTTTCTAACACATTTCTCTTCAGAAGCGTGTATTTTGTTGAGATCAAACTGTTTCTGGAGCATTTTTTGTCCATTGGGCTCAAAAATTGCAGTCAGCCCATAGCACATGCGTCTATCTATTTCACCATGTTGGTTTGGGATCTCTCCCTTTCCAATATCGCAGGCCCGAAAACGGTCTTCGATATGTGCAGTCCAGATGGAGTTTTTATTCCACTTGTAGAATTTCTACGAGCTCGTGGTAGTGGTCTAAACCCACGAGAACACGTGGTATCAGGTGTTCTCCTCGAAGCTTGGAGTTAGCTAAGCAAATGTCGTTTTCTTTCAAGAAACATTGTGTCTGGTGGGGTGAGATTGACACTTGGAAAACCATTTGTAATTGTTGGTTTTGTTTGGAAGTTGAACTCAAGCTTCTTCTCCGAAAGGCAGTACTGATTTTGACGCCTACTATATGGCTTTCAAATTTCTCAATATGACCTCCAATGCCCGAGACTGAGCAAATTTCGGTACCTTGGCGTGGAAGACCAAGCCTTGTAGCTAGCGACTCTTGAATGACCGTTTTTTGTGCTCCAGTGTCGAAAAAGAAAAGCACCTTTTCGGTAATTTTTCGTTCTGTAATTCCAGATACTTCCTTCAGCGGTCATCAAAATTAGTTGTGATGTAGCAACTTGAGTTTCCTTGTTCTTTAGGCCATCAAGATTGTTGATGATAACTCTGTGATTATCACGAGTTGCACCACTACTTCGACGAAGTTGCCTTGAGTGACTTGAAATTGTTGAAAAGGACGCATGTTGCGATTGATTCCATGGCGGTCCACTTTGATTCGCTTCATTCTGACTATTTGTTCCATAGCAAAGGCTTGAATGGTGTTTTTGCCCGCAATGACAGCAATTTGGTAGGTGGCAGTCATAGCTGTTGTGATCAGATGAACTGCATTTCCAACATCTGTTCTCTTTCTTTAATAATTTACGGCGACTATTCTGATCAGTGAC